TCCTCAGAAACCTTAGCAACCGTTGCACCACGGTTTGCATGTACATACAGTTGAAAAGGTGCTGATGGTGGAACATGGTTAGCTACATACTTGCAAATGGAGTCGGAGAAAAGCAAAACAACAGGACGTTCCGCTGCTGTGGCCATGTTTCCTTACCCTTGTCGAGGACACGCCAAAACTTCTATGTCAAAATTCGTCTTATAAAAACCACAAAATATCCTTCACGTTCTGTAAATGTTGTAGCCGATGCACCTCCAAACGGAAAGGTCAGCTACCAAATCGTACAGAACAGTCACTTTAAGCAGAAAACGCAAAGAAGGATGATCAAACACGACTTCGTACTTAAAAAAGATTCTTAAGCATCGCTTGTTTTAATTCTCATTGTCTTCGTCAGAAGGACTATGAAATTGTCTCGCCGGAGTGTGGGGAACTGCGGATTTTGCGATATAACTCTGGAAGGCATGATTCGACGTCCATGATTTTTGGCAGGCAGATTACCGCTGTTGAGGCCAAAGTCAAGAACAAGTTTCGGCTTCGTGGGGGGTCCGTGCGTAACGTTAGTGCACCTTTTGTGTTTGTGGCTTGTTAGCAAGATAACTCAAATATTTGTAAAATGTTGATTATAATTCTTGGTGTGGTGCTTACTATTGTCGGGACCAAGGTTAAGTTCGTTACTGAGCTTCGTGGGGGGTTTCGTTGTGACTACAGGGGGCATTTTGTTAATTTTTCTTGTGAGCAGGATAACTTTTGTATGTGTGGATGGAAGTTAATGAAATTTTATAGGCATGTTACTGTCGTGGTCTCCAAGATTGAGTTCAAAGATGAGAGTCGTGGAGGTCGTTATGTCCCCGTAATAGGACATTTTGTGTTTAGAAATCCCCCACCTACATCTGCTTGGAGACAGCCGACAGCTGGATATAGCCGTTACCGCCGGGGAACCCCATAATGGGATGGGATCAAATGACGTTACATTGAGGGATTGTACTATAACTTCAGCAGGGGGAGGATAGGTTGGACATATGTCAGGTTATTTTCTACGGCCACACCAAGTAATTGCTATGGATGACGTCCACTGGAGACCTTAAATCTAATTACCTTAAATTTAAGGCAAGCGCGCAAAACACGAAGGGCCGAAAAACGAGATGCCTAGATTTGGAATATACTAACTGTAGAAGTACAAATGTTAGGACACAAAGAACACAAGAAACAAGTCTTCTATTCGTCATAAAGACAAATTAACAAAACAGCAGTAGTCACCCTGTTCTGATTCTTTCCTTTATAACATCTTCTCTTATTATATTTTGCGGCGCTGTCGTGACACTTTCAACACAGTAAGAATTTGTTGAACGTTTTTTTTCCAGTAACAGTCCAAACTCAAATAACGTAGGGGGGGGGGCTAACACGGGTGACGACGCATCTGTATAATCTGCGGCAAACCGTTTCATATACCATAAAAATAGTACAGAGATTCTTTTGTTCTTTAGAACAAATTGATTATTAAAAAGAGTGAAGAATACGCATGTTAATTTCTCTAGAACGATGTACCTCTGAGGAAGACATGAGATCTCCGACCTCTAGTTAGAAATATTTTTGACAATGAAATAATTCCGTAACTCAAATCATGAGTACATTGTGCGGCAGTTTTTATCCTTTATTAGCGCTTAGATGCATCCAAATCTAACCATTATTACTTCCGGGTTAAAGTACCGAATGGGTCATCACGCTTCGTCAGGTTCATGGTGCATTACGACAAATCCTAACCAATCAGCTTCGGCGTTATAAATTCGCGGCGGATTTCAAAAGCATTCTATGATTCACCTACAGAAACACACACACAAAAAACACACAAATAAAACGATAATCGCGGGAAGTCCCGCACAGCGTCCTGCACTCTCCCGCAACGTCCTTCGAAAATTGATGCGTATTTCGTGGCCTGTGCTGTAGATATAATGTTTCCACCCCTTTTACAACACACCTTTTCCCTGGCAAAACTTGTAAACAAACATAAGAATCAGGGTGTAGACGCTTGTGGTAGAAAATAAATTAATTAACCAACAGCCAATCAACAGCCAGATCTGCAAAAATGGCCACACCTGTTGCATGCTTGCATGCCCATATATGGGCCTGCTCCCAAATTCCTTTCTTATTACGTCACGCGCGTACTTCTCCACAATACTTTCCTATGGGAACAGCTAAAAAACAAATAAAACGATTGTAAAAGCTTGTATCAAAAAAAATTAAAAAACGCCTAGGGGTATTTACCCACTCTACCTCTATACGAAATTCCAGGTAATTTATCCCAAAAATGAAGGAGTTGAATCAATTTAAAGAAGTGGCAGGAGGAGGAGGAGGAGGAGGAGAAGGAGAAGAATCATCAGTAAAAACAGTATTTCACTCCATACTGAAGTATGGAGTGAAATAATAATGAGATTCACATTTGACTCAGGGAAATTATCTAATTCTTCAGATATATTAAAGAAAAACTCAGAAGAATCTACATTTGGTGCATATATATCAACAATACAAAATCTATATTCATCAAGAGATAGATCTACAATGATCCACCTTCCATCTTTGTCAAATTTAGTTTCATAAATATAAGGGTCAATATTATTACGAAACAAAATGGCTGTGCCTCTTTGATTGGAGGTACCATGTGAAAACAACATGGATCCTCCCCACTCGTTCTGCCATCTTTTTTCATCAGCTAAGGTTGAGTGTGTTTCCTGCAAACATATTACTAGTATATCAAACTGTTTGTCCTTTAACCAGGTAAATACTTTCCTCCGTTTGATAGAATTGCCTAGGCCATTACAATTGTAACTAGATATCCCTACCTCCACCTGGGTCATGGCATCTGAAGAATGTCCGGAATGCTGGGAAGGACCGGGGAATGGGGCGCAGCGAAATCATAATGACAGGTGAGCTGATGTAAACAAACAAAAACTGAACAGAAATCAACAGAACAGAGATGCAATAAATCTGGATGGTTTACAAAACAAAACAAAGTAACACAAAATTATGAGGTCAGGATTTGGCTAACCCTGAACATCTCGTAATCACACATCTCGTAAACACACATACTTTTGGTCTCACCATGGCGCTCATGTACAGGCAGCTTCCCACTCCATTTGTCGTAAATGGACAGAATTCTTCGCCTAAATATGAATATAATACTACATGGTAATGCGGAAAGTACAGAACGAGAGATAGTATACAAATAATAAGCAAACAAAAAGTAAATGAAAAAATGTCTGTGGGTAATCCAGAGCCACAAATCATCACATAACAAAATCAACCAATAAATAAACATATTTGCAAACAGACGAAATATATGATCATCTCTGTGGTTGACAGTAACAAAAGCATATAGAACCAAATAGCAGAAAACAAAATCTTAATTCAAATCAAAAAGGGGCAGTTTTGGCATGTCATGATATTGGCGTATGTAACAAGGAAGTGCAAACAAGTCCACATTAAATCATACAGATTCCCTTTACTGTTAGGGAGCTCATAATAATGGAAAAACAGGCAATCAAAATAAATCATATCTGCATTTAAATCATAAACATTGGCAAAAAGAGTACAAAGCAAAGCAAAAACAAAGAGGGCCAGGTCTGGAAATCAAACAGGTAGTTACAAATTATGATATAATAATTGCAACACCTGAAAAAACACAAGAATTGTCAGACTTACATGCCCATTCATTTAAGTTTATTGCTTTCAGAACACATTCAAAACACATGGATTCGAGTCGTTTAAGTCGTTAAACAGCGTATAACATCCATAGCCCACAATCATTTGTGCCAACATATCAGGTTACCTTATTTATGGACAAGGCAATATCGACCGCATCAATTCGTTTTTTCTCCTCGCCATTCACCAGCAATACAGCATAACTGGACTTCCGTGGCACATAAATCGATACCTTACAGTCTGTATTAGTGTCCTTGACTTTCGCTATCTCAGCATCTCGCTTTGGAACCAGCTGGGCTCTCGCTGCTTGTAACGGTGGGGGGAGATGCTCGTAGACCGCGAAACCTGTTCCTCGGAATTTACGTCCCTCTTTCAGTATGCGGTATCTGTCATGGAAATTGACCAGTCGAGCTAGTAGGGGACGGTTCGGTCGGGTTTTTGTAGGCCGCGATAACCGATGAACCGTCACTAAAGGAGTAGACTTGTCAAAGCCGAGTTCTCCCACCAAGAAGTCGTCTAAAAGTACTTCGCAGTTTTCCTCCTTGTTATACGGCAGGCCTCTGATGATGATGTCGGCTTTTCTTGAATAACGTTCTGCACGTAAATCCGATCTGACCCGCTCCCGTCGTTCATCTTGTAATTCCTTGCGCAGCTGCTCGATTTCGTTGTCTTTGTACTCAGCGGCAGATTCCAGCGTGCTAACCCGATCACGTAGTGTTGATAGCTCGGTGGAAAGCCGACAGTTTATCTCCGACAGTTTTGAGTTGTACGCCTAGAGTTTCCTGTTGTAATTTAGACTGCTCTAAAATGAAATTGGCCAAAGGCTGAAGTTCGGGAGGAAGAGATGCCATGCTCGTAATGTTGCCCACAGTCGCCATTTTCGGAGTTTTGGGAGGGGGGCGCTGAGTCACGTTTGGACTGCTGTTCTCTCCGCTGCTGGAGCCCCTAGTACGTTTGCTTGGCTTTCCCATGCAGGTTAAAAGTCTCCCAGAAGTCACAATACACTACTCGTGTTGAAATATGGACGGTGGAGAAAGTTAGGCGTAAGAAAAGAAATGGATTGTTGGAGCCGCCTGTAAAACGTCCTACGTGTCCGCCGCCATCTTGTGCATCCCATACTTGTCACTTATTTATTCCCAAAATTTGCCGACGTTTTTGCACGTAGACAGCATGCAGTTGTGCGTACGGCAGGTTGTGACCCTCGCTTAACGTAGGTAATACCTTCAAAATGTATTAACAAATCTACACAATTGGCAAATTATTGTAATGACTACATCTGATCTGTTAACTTTTTTAAACTGTAGGAACGGGACCGATCTACATGGAGGACCTACAGTGTGATGGGACAGAGAGTAGCCTGTTTAACTGTTCGCACAAGGGATGGAGGGTTCATGACTGCAGCCGGTGGCATCATGAAGAAGTCGGCGTTGTTTGCGGTACGTGCATTAGACATTTGGTAATTTGTTACTCATATACCATTTCAACGTTTGGCGTTTGACTGAGAAGGCTTTAAGACTTGTTTAATAAACACATAGCAGCACTAACAAGCATCCTGGCAGCTACCTAAAACTCACCCGATACGACCACGATTGTAGCTTATAAGCATATAATCACGGGCATGATCCATTGCTTGTTACCGGTGTAAGGTACTACCTCCGTACCTTAGAGTATACTTTTCCATGCATACAAGCGAAGATCAGAGATCGTGACGTAACACGCCGAGAGCTCACGCCAAGGATCACAGCGCACCACGTGATCGCGTGACCGCGAATTGCGAGACGCCGTTTTCCAGCTGGTGTGTTGGTGTTTGCAATCTCACTCACTCACTCAAGTCCGCATGCTCCTAGAAGCGTAGCAATACGCACGCATTTTCATTAAATTGTGGGAAATCTGCAATTTTTGAGGTGGTGAACACCGAGCACCTTACCTTCAGGGTGTGCACAGTTATTTGGAAAAGTTCTCGGCAGTTTGTTCACAGGTAAGGATACCGAAAAGACGGCATTTTAACTTATATCACGTTACATGGCCCATACATATACGTGCGGTCGCTGGGAGGGGTAGTTCCTTTTAGGCCATTTTGCTGTTTTGGGGGTAGGAACTTAATATTTTTCTTGTTGCGTTTCGGGGTTTTTGTGTTTCATCATCCTTTAAATTCAGACCGGAGCATTAAAGGCTGGCAAACTGCCCCCCTCCCCCATTCTACCCAATGATCGCGGCCTATATGGGTATGTGGAAAAACCGATTCAGTCCAGGAGGCGGAAAAACCTGTCCAGTGTTTGAAAATGTTTGATAGGGTCTACGCTTTGTTTTGATAGAAAGTCCAAATAACCGCTATACGAGATACTTTACTGTGTTGTTTCAGACAACAGATACGACGTGAAGGTTTAGCTGCACATGAAAAGGGGATATAGTAATAACTTTAACCACATAGGCTCATAATGACATTATAACATGTAACAATATATGTCCACGCACAGACAAACCAAACCTGAAGGCTCGTAATATAAGAAATTGATTGACTAGTGCCATGCCTAGTTTCTAGTTTGTAAGGTTGTCAAGTAGGCACCAAAAGTTGCCATTCTAGTCTGCTGGAAATAAATGTTCCTTCAGACCATTTTAGCAGATCAAAATCATCTACTAGTACTAGTAGTTGCCTCCTTCTTCCTGCCCCAATCTTTCATCTGGGGACCAGATAGGGCACATACAGGTAATGTTTCTATGGCCCTTTTATCTGGGGACCAGTGGTAAAGCACTATATACACAGCCCGGTAATAAATTTGAGGCCATTTTATCTGGAGACTAGGTAAGGCACCATACAGGTAATATCTGTATAACCATTTCATCTGGGGACCAGGTAAGGCACCGTACAGGTAATATCAGTATGGCCCTTTTATCTGGGGACCAGGTAAGGCACCATAGAGGTAGTATTTGTATGGTCCTTTCATCTGGGGACCAGGTAAGGCACTATACAGGTACTGTAATATTTGTATGGCCCTTCCATCTGGGGACCAGATGAGGCACTGTAGAGGTAATATTTGTATGGCCCTTTCATCTGTGGACCACCATATACAGGTGATAATTTGTGTGGCCCTTTCATCTGGGGACCAGGTATGTCACCATACAGGTAATATTAGTATGGCCCTTTCATCTGGGGACCAGGTAAGGCACCGTACAGGTATTATTTGAATGGCCCTTTCATCTGGGGACCAAGTAAGGCACCGTACAGGTAATATTTGAATGGCCCTTTCATCTGGGGACCAGGTAAGGCACCGTACAGGTAATATTTGAACAGGTCATTTCATTTGTGGACCAGGTAAGGCACCGCACAGGTAATATTTGAACAGGCCCTTTTGTCTGGGGACCAGTTAAGACACTGTATACGCACTGTACAAGTACTATAGGACAATACTTAACATGAATTTTACTTTATTAGGTCTTGTCTTACTCACAGTAAAGAGAGAGATACACTAACACATAACAGTATTTTCATAGTTGTTATGTCCAACTCCCATATCTGCTTACATAGGTCAATTTCATTCACTCTCACCCTGGTTTAGTGTAATCATATGGCTGGTTAGACTTATTATTAGAACCCGTAAAGCTACGTAGGCTCTAATATGATAAAACAAGCCGTACCAGGCTTTCAGTTAAACATTGTGAAAGCATGCATTGTATAATTGCAGTAATATACCATTAGGCCACAGCAAGTAATTTTTATTGATGACATGAGCGCGTGCATTGATTTTTGCCTGATTTGGGGGAAAAATGTGTTGCCCTGAGTGTGACAGTGGCCAACCTTCCAAAAATGGGCAAAATGGCATGCCTCCCACACACCCATCCACCATCTCCACCTGACATGCCCGTAGCCAGGGGGGGGGGTTCGGAAGAAATCCCCCCACAAGGCTCAAAGGTCCACTTTTTGGTCCACTTTTTTATGTAAAGGTCCAAGATTTTTCTTGAAAAGATGGACTAGAATCATAGAAAAACTGCTCCCTTTGTCATTTAATAAAAAATTTATCTCTGATTTTTTCTTGGAAATCCTCTCAAAAATGCACGAAATGCCATTTTAAAGGATTCATTTTTCAAAATTTTACGCTCAAAATTCACCCCCCTAGAAACCTCGCGCCTTCGCCGCTCGCCTTGCGTCTACAGCGCTCGAGGTCCCCTCGAGCAGTGGAAACGAACCCCCCCCCTCCTTCAAAATCCTGGCTACGGGCATGCACCACACACACATACCAATACACACACATAGTATACATACACATACACATACAGAGAGAAATTAGGTTTACCAGCAAATTGAAGTATTTTTTTCACACATTGCTGAGATTGTAGATGAGTAGTATAGGGTGGACAGAGTAGGTATTATTGTGGCGCGTGGAGTGTGGCGCGTGGATGTGGCGTGTGGCGGAGCGCAGCGGGGCAGACTGGGTGTGGTCAGGCGGATGTGTAGAGGTCACGTGCAGGTCAATGTGGCATACCAGTCGCCGCGGGAGGGTGTGTCGGGCGGCATCGTTACTTAAGGATGGACAGTTTGTATCCCCAGGAGGTCGTGCTGGGCATGGGATAATCCTTTTGTTCTGTTTTTTTAAGCCGGGACCTGTTGAATCCAAGCGCGGTCACTTCAAACCTTTCTCACGCGTCCCGGGAGGGCGTGTCGGGTGGTATTATCTATTAAGGGTCGGTTGTGTATGTCTTGCTGTGTCAATGCTATTGTTTGCTGATTGGTTAAGAGGTAAGAGGATATTTTTGTATAAAGCCAGGCAAACTGTGACGGTCTTAGATTGCGACCTGTCCACGCTTCGACACCTTTTCGATTAGCGATGGCTTCTACAGATGTCAGGAATTGGCTGAGCCGATCTGTACACGAGAGGGATATCACAAGCTGTTCTACCGACCCTGTACCTCTTCAATGGCAGAAGTTACGAGGAGAAAATTTCAACTATGATTACACGGCATTGTACCGACCAAGTGTTTCTTCGACCCTGTTTCAAGCGTGCGAAGAGGAGTTTGTGTACAACACTGGGGACTTGGCTCGAGTTCAGGTCAGAATCTCTTCAATCATTCTGTGTAACTCTTGTCTATTTTGTCAACATCGTTTTACAATCATACACCAATACCTATCAGCGCTGAACGTACGATGTATAACCTTCTTTTTTGTAGATCTTTGGAAAGTATCGTGACATCCCAAGGAAACAAGTTGCTTTTGGTGACTCTGGGTTATCGTACAGATTTTCCGGGGTAGAAATCCCGGCAAGGCCTTGGTCACCGCTGTTAAGGAAGATCAAAGACAGAATACAAGAAGTTCACTGTCTCTCGGACAAACACGAGACTTTATTTTCAAGCACTGTGATGCACGCGGGAAGTACAAGAAACGTATGGTAAAGCCGATTGAAATAGAATTAGAACATGGTAGCCTCTTAATGATGAACTATCCAGCCAACCGATTCTGGTTTCACTCGCTACCTGTCCGGAAAAGGGCAACAGGAGCAAGAATAAATTTGACCTTCAGAAAAATGGCTTAAAACATATGACCTTGGTTTGACCTGTATACATGTACATTCTGTTTATGAGGCTCTCAGCTATCACATAAGGCTGTCACTGAACGTGCAACGTCATTCTTATGAAGATCACCAACCATGCCGCACGAGTGTGACGTCTGTGGCAGAGAGTTCAGTCGAAAAGCAAACCTCGCACGTCATCGCGATACGATACACGGAGACGTGGCAGAAATTTCTTCGGGAGAAGAGAGCATGGACACCGAGCCGGGTTCTTACCGATCCGCTGACATATTTGACGACACCGACGACCTGTCGGAGGAGGCAACGACAGAGCATGACACGGAGTCACTTGAATCTTACGAGGAATGTGAAGTTCCAGAAGAAGATGAGTCTGTGGTGGACTCTCAGGAGATAGAGTCAGCGACAGAAACTGACAGCGATCAAAGTGGTTCCTGATAATGAAAGTGAAGAGTACGGCTACGACAGTGGTGATGAGAAAGAGTGGACCCTCTATCGCGACTGGACCATTCCACTAACTCACGATCCAGGCGATGTCCCTCAACTCGTGATCAAGGAGACAAAACGCGATGGCAAAAAGTTTTATCTCGTAGAATTTGCTGCCTTGCCTCCACCTTACAGTTATGAGATAATTCACAGCAAGAACTGGGTCTCAGAGCAGCAGACATTGATTGAAAAATACGGCTTTCTTGTTCTGAAGTAATACAACATTGTCCTTCCATCGATAGTAATATTTTTCCTAATAGCTAATGTACTGTTGATACACATGTACCATCTCGGCAAACATAATGAGTGACTCACTACATTAATATGTACGCAATGAGTGACTCACGACAATAATATGTACATAATGAGTGACTCACTACATTAATATGTACGTGATGAGTGACTCACTACATTAATATGGACGCAATGAG